ACTGAACAATTTAGATGGATAGCTATATCTTATGGGGGCTCTTAATTCTTTTTCTCACTTTATCGTAATTATGTTTGATAGATCCTATGTTCTGGTTCTTTTCTTTGGGTAATGATTTCTCCATTCATTGTATCGATTGCTAATCTATCCATGTAACATATAGAGAAAGAATATTCCATCATTTTGTCATAGCCTTTTACTCGGTTACTGTACTGAACGAATAAGTAGATTCTTTTCTCTCTTTTTATGGCATAGCAGCTGTGTGCACCATACATCTTTTGCCAAGCATGATATTAAAGATTACCAGTTTGGGCTATTTTAAACAAAACTCTAGCTGGCTAAGAAAAAGGAAACCTCAGTCCCTAAACTTTAATTTGACTTTCGGAAAATAAGCTGCTATTTCAGAATCGTGGCTTATTCGCATCAAATATGGAGATCCACCCTTACCGGGACTGATTTCACTGTGAGTTGGTCAAGCAATTGGTATACTGTACAGAGCATTTTTCTGTCCTTTGTAAGTCTATAGCTAAATAGTCACACACAACAATACCATCAAAGAGTGACACAGCTTAATGATGAATGATTACAAACCTAAAAATGCTGATAGATGCCTATTTGTTCCTGCCAACACCTCTAAATAAATAAAGAGCAGGATCTGGACCAGCAGCAGTAGTAATTAAGAGTGTAATTTTTAGGAAAATGGTTTTACTTTTCTATTCATGTTTTTTTGTGAAAGTTTCATTTGTTTCAGTTGATATTCATTTGCATTGCATTGGTTTTATTGTTTCCATTCCACTGCATCAGAGACCTAGCTCCTCATGTGGCCTATAAAGTCAACTCAATTGGCAGGCACAAGAGATAAGGCCGTGTCTGCGATGGCCCCTGATGATGAAATCCCCTCTCCATTAAGGTGTGTATTGCTTCAACACTCAAAGTTTGAACCCTGTGTGGTCCTTGTGTCCAGGAAATTGGCCACTTGCCTCTTCTGGACCTTTGGTATGTGACGCTGACAAGTGTACAATGGCCTGACTGGTTTGGCCTTCACCCTGGTGCAAGTTGAAAGCCCCTTCCCAGGGCCCCTGAAGCCAATAAGGCATTGGGTGACCTAAGAGTACCCTTAAACCCAGTGCTTTTTTTCTAAAAAAATTTTTTTAGGGGTACTCTCATTTTCCTACTCATATTGAAATACTGCCCCTCAATGAGGCCAAACTTAGATTTACAAAATGTATAGGGGTATGCGTACCCCTGCATACCCCCAGAAAAAAGCACTGCTTAAACCAATACTGCCTCAAGTATTTACCCCATGAGATCTTAAAATTCTGTTTCCTGCTTGGACAAAAAGTCAGTTGAACCAAACAAGCACCACTCCGAATAAAGCTTCCAACAATAAGGATTTGGCAAAACGGGACAGCCCCAAGGCCAATTAGGGGATTCCCCCAAAATTCCTACTCAGCCTCTAAAGAGGCAGCTAGCAAATCCCATATGACAAGATCTGAATGACTGAGCCCCACAGCTCCTCCCATGGGAAAAACCAACCCAAGTTTTCTTCGAGGGGGAGATGGCATGCAGCAAAGCTACCCCCACTTAAGTGAGGGAGCAGCAGTCTGCTTGGGACGCGGGTGGCGCTGTGGGTTAAACCACAGAGCCTAGGACTTGCTGATCAGAAGGTTGGCGGTTCGAATCCCCGTGACGGGGTGAGCTCCCATTGCTTGGTCCCAGCTCCTGCCCACCTAGCAGTTCGAAAGCACGTCAAAGTGCAAGTAGATAAATAGGTAGCGCTCTGGCGGGAAGGTAAACGGCGTTTCCGTGTGCTGCTCTGGTTCACCAGAAGCAGCTTAGTCATGCTGGTACGCCGGCTCCCTCGGCCAATAAAGCGAGATGAGTGCTGCAACGCCAGAGTCAGTCACGACTGGACCTAATTGTCAGGGGTCCCTTTACTTTAGCATTCTGCTTAGAGACTGAGCTGCTACAGCATATAAATTGTTGAAATGATAAATAAATAGATACTGAAAACTTTAAAGTAGATTTTTAAAAACCTTTTATTTAATGTCACTTTCTTGTCACCAAGGCATTTAAATTGGTATTTCCTTTTGTTAGAGAGCTACCTTAGAATTAATAACTTTTTTAAAACCTTGACTGAGATTTATATTGTTCTACCTGTTTTATCAGTGTTTCTAGTTGACTATTAATACATCTGTTTTAAATTTGTATTGTGCTTCTATGATGGCAAGCCAACTTTGGTGTACTTCATCCAAAAGGTAGGCTATAAATAGTTATAAAAATAAACAATGTGTTTTTCATTTTTCCATCCATTTTAGTGGAGGACCAGCTAGCCTTCAGCTGCTAGTAACTTCCATGTATTCTATCCATATGTAATTATTTCTCAACTTTCAGTTCGTCCCCCTGCAAGCATCTTATCTGCTAAATTTTACAAACAGATTGGAGTCCCAATGATAGAAGTAGTTTAAAAGGCACTCATCAAATTTACATTCCATTGCTTTCAGTGGGAACACTAGCTACTTTTCCCCGGCTTGTATTTTTTGTATTTTCCATCCAAATAGCACAATTGCTCAAGCATTCTACTATACACCTGGACCATCTGAATTCAGATGGCGAGGACAAAGCACCCCTGTTTTATAAAGTCAGTTTCATCTCTCTCTCTCTTCCTTCCCTGTAAGCTTTCTGTGACCTGTACAGGATGTTCCAGACTGTTTCAGTTTCAGTTTTCCCTTTTTTAAAAAAAAAAAGAAAAAAAACCTAATCAAATGAATGAAAAATGAACAAATCTTCACCCAGAACTCATTCACTGAAATTTCTTGAAACAGATGGGATTCATTAATTTCATTTGTCATTCATTGCATAGTGGTAACATCTAATAATTGGGGAGAGGACATTTCTATCTTCATCTCAGTTGCCAGCAGTGTCCAGCTGGTTGAGAAAGAAATTCTCATGGCCTCACACTAGGATAAAAACATTCAGTGATACGTGACTCTTGTTGCAAGGTAGAAGCTTTAGAGCAGGCATAGGCAAACTCCGGCCCTCCAGATGTTTGGGACTACAATTTCCATCATCCCTAGCTAACATGACCAGTGGTCAGGGATGATGGGGATTGTAGTCCCAAACATCTGGAGGGCTGGAGTTTGCCTATGCCTGCTTTAGAGTGACCATTTCCCCCATGGCAATTTGCCAGACTGAGAAAGAGAAACAATTGAAGACATAGCCACTTAGCATATAGGCAGATAGATATATCCATTTGCAGACCCTCCAAGTGTCCCTATTTTCCAGGGACGTCCATGATTTAGAGAAGCCATCCCAGTTTCAGATTTGATCCTGGAATATCTCATTTTTTCTTACAGTGTCCCAATTTTCATTGGAGAAATGTTGGAGGGTATGGAGTTATCTAAACCCTGAGCCATCTGAAGGCAATCCTGTATAGGAATGTTTAGTATTTTATTATGTTATTATGTGTTATCTATCTATCTATCTATTGACTTGCCAATATATCTATCTATCATCTATCTATCTATCTATCTATCTATCATCTATCTATCATCTATCTATCTATGTTGGAAGCTGCTCAGAATGCTGGGGCAACCCAATAAAATGTCTGGGATATAAATAGTAAAATTATTATTATGGAATGGGACGTCACTATTTGCATTGGACAAATGTTGGAGGGTATGAGTTTGTAAGAAGCCCTTCAAAGCAGATTGGCATTCCACCATTTGCACAAGATGCCTTAAGAATGCAACCATATGGTTCCTGGGCATAGCTGTCAACTTTCAGATTTGAAAATAAGGGATCAGCAGCCTTGAAAATAAGGGATCAGCAGCCTCACCTGTCCCGGGGACAGTCTATGGGATATCTAACAATCCGGGATAGCAGAGGGAAGCAGCGGGAAGCAGCACTGGAATAAGGGAAATTCCCACAAAAAAAGGGAAGGTTGATAGCTATGTCCCTGGGATGGTGTCCTATGAGCTAGAGGATCTATTCCTATGACAGCGTGTTGGAGCCCAGCACTCCATCACCACAAACTTCTCTCACATACTGTCTCAATTGACATTCAAGATCCAAAATAGAGACCGAAATAAGGTGTGTTGGGGCATATTAAAAATATTCCAATGCCCTTTCCTTCTTCCACCCATAGCAAAGCATTCTTTTGCCACCCATATCAGGGTTTCAGGTTAGTTTTAAATGCTTTCACTCGTTTTCCTCTTCTGGTTACCTGACATTACATTGGTTAGCAAATGGATTCATATTCTTACATTCAGGAAACATTCTGTAAGGAGAGAGACTTTGGAGTACTCTAAAAGTGGTAAGACTTGAAAACTATCCAATTTGATGTATTGTGCTCTGAAAGTGACAAGTCTTAAAAATGATCCAATCTGAAGAATAACACAATAGGTAGCTTAAAGAATATCTGTCACCACTTTTAAATCACATCTAAAACAGGGACCCTCTTATCAATCTGTCTGAAACTTGGAAGGTCTAATGGTTTATGGGAGTAGTAGAAAGTCCGCAAATTCTATGTCATTTGGATGGAAAGTGTCAAAGTTGGATGCTGGAGAATACAGTAAGAGCCTCTATTTGAAAACAATGGGAGGTATGTAGGATATCACCCCTTTTTGAATTGCATGTTAAATGTGGGTCCTTTTTTCAAACTATCTGAAATGTGGATAGTCCTATATTGAGCATAGTACAAGAAGAGACAATTTCTTGCCACTTGGTTGAAAAGCTTCAAAGCTATAGGCATCAGAATACAGGGCGGGTTTCTACTGTGATCAGTTTGTAATCAAAAGGAACAAGAAATGAAAAATGAATTAAATAATGGCAGAAAAATAAAACAATAGTAGACAATATTGAATTAAAAATGAAACAAACTGGTCTGTGGAAATTACGTGAAAAATGCAATAAAACCACAAAAACAACTTCATGATGCTCAACAATCCATCACATATATTGCATAGACAAATTCTTAATTATTTTAACCATCTCCAACATGGAGATGTCAAGGATTGAATTTGAGACCACCTGCTTATAAAACAGTTGTTTTATCACTGAGCTATGGCTCTTCTACTAATGATGCTTGAGAAAGACTATTCTTAACAACAGGCCAGCGGCTTGAAGACCTGTTCCACATTCCTTAGGTCATATCTTTGAGCTAGCCAGGTGGTTAGAACATTTCCAGATATACTGCCACATGGTTTGGTCCAGCTAAAATCTGAACAGTCGTAGGTTTGCAAAGGACTGGGCACCTCTTTTTTTCTTTAAGAAAAAAATACATTTGCTTGAATCAGTTGCAAATTTACTTGTGGATATTTCTCCAAATCAAAATAAGACTTACTTTCAGAAGTTACTTAACAGCTGTTATTTTTAATGCAAAAAAGAATGCTTCAGAGAAAGAAGTGTGTGCTTTAAAAATATGTCATATGTAGCATTTTTTTTAAAAAGAGAAAAGTACAAGCAACCATTTCAAAATATATGACAGATTGTATATGTATATTTTTGAAATACTTTATTTTCACTTGTACAACTTGTATACAGTAAGATTATAAGTACCCTGCATTTCATATGATACAGTATACAAAAATACTTTTGTCAGTTAATGTTGTTGGCAGCGTTAATATCCTTCCTGGGGTTGATGAGATACTAGATATCTTTGCATATATGATTGACACATGCATGTTTTCACTTTTAAACAAAACAAAACAAAGATCTCTGCATCTCTCTTTCTATGCTGGATATAAAACTGTCTGATGAACCAAGTCCCTCGCGATGCTGCCTGGTTATATGATTCGCTGTTTGATGCTCTTGATGGTGCTACACAATGCATTATTATATAAGTCCCCGTTCCTTGTTACATACATGACTGACGAGCAGAGTTCAGTCCGCCGGCATCTCTCCAGTCTCAGGCTAGAACTGCCTCTGACTTCCACAAGTTGTCCCTTAGCGTGAACAGTCATTGCTGCGCAACCATTTTGAGGTCCCCCTTCATGCAGATAACACAGCAAAAGCAATGATGTCTATTAGGAATTTAGCAAGCACCTTCCCTTGATCAACCATCAGCCAAGAGCCTTAGGGAATGACAATGTCTGAAACATAGATGAGTGGAAATGGATCATAGAGAGACAAGACTTATGGAGATCCGGTGAGGGAGGTTTTTGAGTGCCCAAAGTTATGTTTTGGAAGTGGTGGGTTGTTTAATGAGCACTCATCCTGTTTCCACAAAGTTTGTGAAGGACCAGGTGCGCAGCCTGGGAGTCATTTTGGACTCGCAGCTGTCCATGGAGGCACAGGTCAATTCTGTGTCCAGGGCAGCTGTCTACCAGCTCCATCTGGTACGCAGGCTGAGACCCTACCTGCCCACAGACTGTCTCACCAGAGTGGTGCATGCTCTAGTTATCTCTCACTTGGATTACTGCAATGCAATCTACCTTTGAAGGATTACTGCAATGTGATCTACCTTTGAAGGTGAAGAAACTACAACTAATCCAGAATGCGGCAGCTAGACTGGTGACTGGGAGCGGCCGCCGAGACCACATAACACCAGTCTTGAAAGACCTACATTGGCTCCCAGTACGTTTCCAAGCACAAAACAGGTGACCAACCGGAGTCCAGAGCAAAGCCAAAGCAGACACTTAAAACTAGGGTGGGTGGGTGGGTGTTTGGTGGCACAAAGTCAAAAGAAGCCCCGACAACGTGCCACCACCTTTTATAGGCCCCCACGATCACGCCACCACTCTCTAATTGGCCAATAGGCCGGTGGCGTGATTGCGGGGCCACTGCGGGCTCAGGATCACCCCCCTCTCCTCCCCATGGGTGGTGGGGTGCCCCAGGCCCCTGCACAATGCGGACCCTCAAATAAGAGGCTCCGATTTACACTTCCGAATGCTTTCCTTGTCACTTATGGCAACAATTTGATTTTGGTGGGAATCAGCAAGTCAACTTTTTGGATTCTGGATTTACAAGTATGTGCTTGAAGCAACAATAACAACAATTTTGAAGTGCACTGAAAGAAAATTACACCTCTGAACAACAAGACCATTTTTTAAAGGGGATATGTTTAGCTTTGTATATCAACTTGTGACTCTTTGGAGACTTTTCACTGTATCCCACCACAAGCTTTTATGGTAACTATGCAGTTGTATCTTCTAGGAGTGCTTGTGTTTGAAGACAAAAATAAAATCTACCAGATGGCAGGTGCATTCAAAACTATGCATATTAAAGCGAAGCCGTCTGTCACTTAGGAACAATTTGGAAAATCTGTGAAAAATCCTTTTCTTTTGAAAAAGCAATTTCCCCCAACTTTCTTCTTCTTGCCAATCAATCATAGTTTGAACTTTACTAACTTCCTGCCACCTAGAAAATATTGTTCCTTCTTTTCTTTTTTTGTATTTACAGTGCAATGCAATTAATTTGAAGCAGGATTTGTGACTAACTGAAACCTAGGTCAGGCACACTGTGGTTCAGCTTGAAGGTATAATTATTGAAACTTTGAGTAGTAGTAGGATGCTTATATAGCTTATGGAAAAAGAAAATGTAAACCAGTCTTTCCTGAGTTAGTGCCACCCAGATGTTTTAAAACATAACTCATATCAGTTCTAACTCAGAAGATCCTGCTGCAAGGGGTTGATTGGAGTTATAGTCAAAAACATCTGGAGGGCACCAGGTTGGGGAAGGCTAACTTAAACAATTCCAGAAGAAGATGTTTCATTATCTTCTTGGAGGCCACAGGTTGTTCCAGTCCATATCAGCCAAATAAGAGAACATAAACATTCCTCGAGGATTATATCAATATATGTTATATTGATTTGGGACTGATAGCAAAGTATAAACAGATCAGAAAGTTGGTAACTTGGATTTCAGAAATGGAAAAAAATAATATTGTAATTGGAAACTGATACAAGTTACCAAAATGCCAGATAACTAGTTGAATGTATGTTTGCTGAGCAATTCTTCCCGCCTCAAGTTATTTATATAACAATTTTTATTTTAAAAGAGCTTCTGATAGAGACAAGATTGCATTTGGATCTACCAATTTTCCTCATGAAAAAGTCCATCAAATCACTGAAGTCTCATAACAAATTAATCCTCATTTATACATGAACATTCACTGCAAATGGAGAGTCCCAGCGCATTTTAATACGATGGAAAATCACTTGTGGTAAAATGGAAGAAGCTAGGCGCAGCTTTTTATATGAATAGCAATAGGCTCACACAGAACAAATAGAGGAGCAAAATCAACAGGATAGCCAGCAATCTCTACCAGCAAAGTCATAGGAATGTGATATCTAACCACTACTGAAATAAAGGATCTCTGAAGTTCAATAAGAAGGGGCAGATGAGCAATGCATGGGAGGGGTTTCTGCTGTCTGGGAGCTGCAACCAAGAAAGCCCCGTCTCATGCATTTTGGATGGCGATAGGATATGGAACAGGAACTTACTTCTATACTCATTCTTGGCCTTGTATTTGCTTCTGAAATGTAACTTACTGTTAATCCCAGATCATTATTGTCGCAGCCCACGGTCTAATGCTGCAGCCACAAAAAGCTACAAGCAACAACGTTTGGTTATTCACTCCATTTCATTCTTATCAGATCATAGGGCTGTAAAGGATGGAGGAACTTTGATATTTGCTATTAGATTTATTATTAGAGCTATGCAGGTTGCATCAAGGAAGGCATCACCTTTACAAAAGATTTAGTATGTAAAAGGGAAATGCCAATGACCTTCCTTGCTTTATTTTTTGTTTGTTCAGGCAGTCTGGTTCCTGTGACAGGCCCACACATTAGAGAAAAAAATTTCACCCATTAAAAACAAACCCAACCCTCTCTCTGTTCACTTTCCATTCAGCATTCAAAAGCTCTATAAAGCCAATGCATCTATTATCATGATATCTGATACTCTGAAGCAGACCTCTAATTTATGCTCTTTGTTGCAGCAATGACACTAATAGGACCTGGGGTAAAGTCCTGTCCTCCCCCTCTTATGTATACTATAGACAACTATCACCACATCTGTCTTGAATCTTGCTCTAATCTAATTCAGTCACTCTTGTGGAACTAATACCTTAAGAATTTGCCCTATAAATAGCAAATTGGAGTATTGCTTGTGCCACTTTGCTCTCCAGAAAGAAAATGCAAGGTATAATTAGAGGAGAAAGATGCTTCAACAAATTAAAATCAGTTTCACTACATTTTTTAATTTTTATTTATTTTGTCTTTTTTTTAAAAAAAAAGTGTTAAATAAATACTGTACGACATGGCAAATCCTTTACGCTGTTATGCCTCAGACCTGTGTGTGTGCGTGCATGTGTGCTTGTGTGCACACACACAAACACTTGGTATGACAATGTTCCTAACTATGAACAACTACATTTATAAAACCATGCAAGGCTGCAATGGAAGATTAGGGCTTCATCTGGAAATCAGGTAAGGAAATCAGGGAAGGAAGTGTTCTTTCTTCCAGAGAATAAAGCTGGTCCTCCAAATCAAATCAGACAGATGGAACCTTTCCTAATTCCTCACACTGAGAAACAATCCTTTTCACTCAAGGGTACCAAGTGGTAAGTCTCTGGGGGGTGGGAAGTCCAACTGAGATCTGAAGAATGAGCCCAGCAAGTGGTTGGATGACCTTTTTCATATACTATCTCTGCTGAGATCGGGATAACTCTCTTCACACAAATATTGCTTTAACATTGGCTATACTAGCATGTGAAGCAAACCAGTGATGGTGGCAGTCATATCTGTCGTAATGCACTGTCTATAGATTTACATGCGCTCACAGATATTGTACAGGATAGATATTGTGACTCTGCCTAAAGACAAGCACTGTCCCTGGAGCACATTGAGTGATCTGTTAGAACGATTCTTGTACTGCATGTGAAGGTAGCTAGGTCCCTCACACTAAAGCCCGGCACAGATCCTTGGTGCTGTTGTTCTTTTGCACCTGTCCTGGAATCTGCATGGCAGATCTGTCCTGTGGCAGTTCCATTGTGCTGCTCAGGCAAGACAGTGAGCCCAGGCCCTTCTGATCTATGAATCCCATGATCTAAGGATTAAATCATCCA